GAGGAGGCAGAGGAAAAGGAGGAGGAGGAGGATCATATGAATAATAAGAGGGGGAGGCAGAGGAAAAGGAGGAGGAGGAGGAGCAGGAGGAGGAGGATGAAGGTTCCTAACTTAGAGCGGTGACGTAGCACGCGCATACCAGCAAGGCTCCCAAGAGCGAGTGGTGACGCAGCAAACTCTTACCACCAAGGCTTCCAAGAGCGAGCGGCAACGTAAGCATCTCTTGGCACGAGGACTCTGAACAGAGAGCGGTTACGCAACAAGCTCTTCCCAGCAAGGCTTCCAACAGAGAGCGGTGACGTAACACGCTTTAGCAGCAAGGCTCCCAAGAACGAGCGTTGACGCAACCAGCTCTTACCACCAAGGCTCCCAAGAGTGAAGGGTGCCATGAGGCATCTCGGGCAGGTTGCTGAAGCGCTCTTTCCGTGTCCGTGCCGGCCCAGGTAACGGAAAGAGCAAGGTACGAGTGATGACGTTGTGTTTGGGCGAAGCCCTCTAGGGAGGGGTCCAGGGGAGGGGGGAGGGGCGGGGGGAGGGTTGTTAATGGCCGCTCGGGGCGTCTTGGAGGCCTCTTGGGCGCTTCTTGGGCCGTCTTGGGCGCTCAAGACGGCCCAAGAGGGGTCCAAGACGGCCCAAAATACTTCCAAGACGGCCCAAGAGCGCTCCAAGAGAGCCCAAGACCGCCGAAGATGGCCCAAGAGGCCTCCAAGACGCCCCAGGAGGCGCCCAAGGGGCGTCCCAAGAGGGCCCCAGGAGGCCAAAATCATTGATTTTCGAATGGAAAACATACATCTTAAGCATATACGGCTTGTCGGCTTCCACGGCGTTGAAGACGGCCCAAGAGGCCCCCAAGACCGCCCCAAGACGGCCCACGAGGATTCCAAGAGGCCCCCAAAACTGCCCAAGAGAGCCGCAAGGTGGCCCAAGAGGCGCCCAAGACGGCCCAAGAGAGCCCCAAGACGGCCCCAAGAGGGGGACCACGACCGGAAAAGTCTAGCCTTTCGCCCCAAGACGCTCCCAGGAGGCCCCAAGAGCCCCCCAAGAAGCCCCAAGAGGCGTTCCAAGAGGCCACCAGGAGGCCACAATCATTGATTTCTTATCGGAAAACATACATGTTTAGCATACGCGGTTTTTCGGCTTCCACGGCGTTGAAGACGGTCCAAGAGGCCCCCAAGACCGCCCCAAGACGGCCCAAGAGGCTCCCAAGAGGCCTCCCAAACGGCCCAAGAATGCCACAAGACGGTCCAAGAGGCGCCCACGACGGCCCAAGAGGCGCCCCAAGAGGGCCCCAAGAGGGGGACCACGAGCCGAAAAGTTTAGCTTTTCGCCCTACGAAGCTCCCAGGAGGCCCCAAGAGCCCCCCAAGAAGCCCCAAGAGGCCCCCAAAAGGGCTCCAAAAGGGCCCCAATAAGACCCCCAAGAAGGCCCAGAGATGTCAAATAAAGAGCGATCGGTAACGCAAAAAGCTCTTCACACCAAGGCTCCCAAGAGCGAACGGTGACGTAAACAAGCTGATAAGACCAAGGCTCCCAGCAGAGAGCGGTGACGTAATAAGCTCCTGACACCAAGGCCCAGCTAAGGCTCAGGAACGGGCTGCAACGCAACAATCTCTGAACACCAAGGCTCCCAAGAGCGAGGGGTGACGTAACAAGCTCTCAACACCAAGGCTCCCAGTACGAACGATGGTGTGAGTAATTTCGGTTTTTGTTTCTGAAGCGCTCTTTCCGTTTCTGTGCCGGGCCAGGTCTAGTGGTTTTCGGTCCATCCCGCCACCGTGTTTGGGTTGTAGGTCGGAGGCCTCTTGGATGCATGTGGGGATCTTTTGGGAGACCCCTCGGGGGCTTCTTGGAGGCGTTTTTGGAGTGTCTTTAAGGCCTGTTAGGACCTGGTTTGGACATCTTGGGGGCCTTATGGAGCCTCTGGGGAGCTTCTTGGGGGCCTGCTGGCGGTCTCGGAGGTCGTCTTTTGGCGGAGGACTCGAAATGTCAATTCGTGTTCCCCCTGTCTTGAGCGGTTTTGGAGGCCTCTTGGGCAGTCTTGGGGGCCTCTTGGGCCGTCTTGGGTTCTCTTTAGTCATTTGAGGGGCCTCTTGGGGCGATCTTGGGAACCTCTTGGGCCGTTTTGGACGCGATCTCCGGCGAGTCGGGGCGCTCCTGGACTGCCTTAAGGGCCTCTAGGGTCCCTCTTGGCCCGTTGTGGGACTCCCTTAAAAAATATGTAGGACTGCGGACTCGAAGCACTTGAGGACACTCAACTCGTGCCTCAGGACACGGTGTCGGATATAGTCCCCTCGCCTCGTTCTTCATGCACCCCCTCTTGCCCTCACCCCCTGCACTCAACCGTATCCCCTCGCGGAGCTTTGCACTGGCCAGCTGTTCCCACCGACGCAGTCTGAGCACCCCAGCGGCGCGAAGGGCCTGGGCGTTCCAAGATCCTTCCGCTCCTCCCCCACCCCCCTGCCCCCCCCACCTCTTCAAAGTAGCAATTCTGGTTCGAGGCGATGTCTCAAGATCACGGTCGACGTTCTGGCCACCACATGCATGGCGCAGCATCTCCAGAATTGAAACGGCCGCTTTCGACGCCGCGGCCGAGCCAGCATGCATCCACACCGGCGGCCGCGCTCAGGGAGTGCGCGAGCACGAAGCAGTGGAGGCTGGCGTTAGAGCTGCTCCGAGAGGCGCCGCGGGCACGAACGCAGCAGGACATCAAGATCTACATCTACAACATTGCAGCGAACGCGTGCGGAAAAAGCGGGCAGTGGCAGCAAGCGTTGTCGCTGCTCCGCGAGTCGCGAGAAGTAAAGTTGGAGCCAGACGTTTTCGTCGGGGGCGGACAGCACCCCCACCCCGACACGTCGATCAGTGAACTGTCCGCGTTCGGTTCTCGAGAGGGCGCCGCGGCCGTCACTTTCCAGGCTTGCGCCCGCCAGGTTTGGGCCCGAGGTCGTTTCCACCAAACCACGTTTTGCTAAAGTTCAGTCGGGCCTGTCCCTCTACAGGAGGGAAATTCAAAAACGGTGCAAAAATAGTCGGGGGACGAGTTTTTGATTATTTTTGAGCATTTGGGAAGTGTTTGTTGGGTATGCTTTAGTTTTCGCCCAAAATCCCCCCTTGTAGGGGGACAGGCCCGACCGGAGGCTAAACGAGGAGGAGGAGGAGGACGACGAGGAGGAGGAGGAGGAGGAGGAGGACGAGGAGGAGGAGGACGAGGAGGAGGACGAGGAAGAGGAGGAGGACGAGGAGGAGGAGGAGGAGGAGGAGGAGGCACGGTTTGCTAAAGAGGGCCCTGCCCACCCCCGACATCTGGGCCACAAGCCCCGGGCGCGGCGCGTGCCAGCCGGGGACACATATTCCCCCTCCGCCCGCCGGGCCCGGCGGCCCGTGGTGGCGGCGCCTCTCGGGCCGGACGAAGGCTCCTCCTCCTCCTCCTCCTCCTCCTCCTCCTCCTCCTCCTCCTCCTCCTCCTCCTCCTCCCCTCCTCCTCCTCCTCCTCCTCCTCCTCCTCCTCCTCTCCTCCTCTCCTCCTCCTCCTCCTCCTCCTCCTCCTCCTCCTTCTCCTCTCGGGAAAGGGGGGGGTACGAAAATTGCTGCATGCAGCTGGTTTCGGCCCCACCGAGGGGCCCATGCCTCGGAACATTAGCCGCCTCCGGCGCCAGTAGGCGCCGGGAAAAGCAGCTGCGTGAGCTGATTCTGACCCCGCCCCCCTTTGCGATCCCCCCCTTTCGCCCGACCCGAGCCTCCGCGGCCACCTGCCCCACGAGAGCCCCGCGAGGCCGCGGGGCTCGCTTCGACTCCTCCGGGTCGCCTCGGTTCGATGTCGATGGCTTCCGATGCTGGTGCGATTCGGCTTCGGGTGCCGATTCGAGCTCCGAGTTCTCGCTGGACACATCCAAGCCTCCGGTTCGGCTCTTTCCGCCTCCGCTGCAGACATCCGCCGACCCGATTCATGTCGATCATCGATCCGACTTGTCGATTCGATTCTGGGCTCTCCTGCGAGGGGCCCGACAGACTCTCGTAGCGCTCCTCAGCCGCCCAGGAGGGCTCCCAGACGGCCCGAGAAGGCCCCCACCAGGTGCCACCGGGCTCCCGCGGGCTCCGGGAGGGCCACGAGAGGACGACAAACGACAGCCTCTCTTTGGATGCTCCGCGCTTCCTCCTGCGATCCCTCCTCCGGCCACAGAACGCCCAACCCGCCCCGAGGAGCCTCCCATTTTCCTCCAGAGGGCGCCCAGGGAGCTCCCTTAAGAGAGCCCCTGCGGGGGCCCCGGGGGACCCGCAAGTCGACCCGCGGGGACTCCCAGGACGGCCGAGCAGCCCCCCAAGGCGGCCCCGAGGGAGGCCCAGCAGGGCCACCTCTGGAGCGCTCCCTGCCCCTCCCGCCTCCCCCACTGCCAGCAAGCCCCCCAGATGCGGGCAAGACTTGTGTCCATATCCAGTGCGTCTTGAACTTTTTGGGGCGAAGCGCCTCCAGGCCGAGGCGCACTGGATGTGGCTAAAAGCCTAGCCTCTAGGGGGCAAGCTTATCCATATCCAGCGCGCCTCGGGTTTCTGGGGAACGGAGCCTTGAACTCCATATTGCAGTGGATGTGAACAGAAGTATTTCCCGCACCAGAGGCTCCCAGACGCCCCCCCCGGGGACGCTCCCCAGAGGCTCCCGGAAAGCCTCAGCAACTCTTCTGAAACGGCTCTGCCATGCTACCAGAAGGCCCTTGATCATTTCGAGAACGCAATACGGTAGAGGGAAACAATTACTGAACACTCCCCCTCCCCCCAACTCACTGATGAATTTGGCGTTGACAGATGAATTTGGCATGAGTGTTCGCTAATTTGTTCCGAGGCCTGTACCTCACGGCCTCCAGCAGCTCCCTCCACACGGCCCCGATCAGCTCCTAGCGAGCACCAGGTGCTTTGAAAAATCATACCCTGTGTCCGATCCAGCCGCGGGCACCAGGAACGTTGTTTCTGCGGCCCCTCCGCGCCGGGCGTGTCCCAAGAGGTGTGGGGTGTGGTTTTCTCATATGGCCTTGGGCCTCCCCCGTCGTCGCCCTCCTCCGCCACAGGCGCTCCTGCTGGCGGAGTCGAAGCCGCACAATTCCCAGAGGGGCAAGAGGAGGACAAGGAGGAGAAGGAGGAGGAGGAGAAGAAGGAGGAGGACGAGGACGAGGAGGAGGAGCAGCTGGAGGAGGCGGAGAACGAGGACGGGCCAAGCACGAAGAGGAGGAGCACGAGGATGAGGACGCGGACGAGAACGAGCAAAGCACGAAGAGGAGGAGGAGGAGGAGGAGGAGAAGGAGGAGGAGCATGAGGAGGAATATGAGGAGGAGGAGGAAGAAGAAGAGGAGGAAGAAGGAGAGGACAGGAGGAGGAGGAGGAACAGGAGGAGGAGGGAGGAGGAGGAGGAGGAGGAGGAGGAGCTGCTGCTGTTGCTGCTGTCCGTGCCCCTGGACATGCTGCCGCTGATGCTGCCAGCGCTGCTCTGGACGCCGTCGGAATCGTCAAGCGAACAGCGCACCCTGAAGCAGTGAGCAGCAGCAAGCATTAAGTCGGACCTGTCCCTCTACAGGAGGAATATGCAAAGATAATCAACAAATTGTCTTGGGACGATTGTTTGACTATTTTTGAGCATTTTTGGAGCATGTTTGGGGTATTGTTGTTTTTAGCCCCAAATCCCCCTGGAGGGGTACAGGCCCGACCTAAAGCAAGCGCGCTCTGACCACTGGCACTCGTGGACGGCCGTCCACGGGCCAGCCCTTGTCTAACCTACAATACCGGGCATTGAGCGTACGAGAAGGGCCATTGGGGGCACCCTCGCCAGGCCCTGGGGGGCGGCACCTCGGCGGCTCCGCTCGTGGGGACGGTCCACGAGGGCCCCAGAGAGCCCACGGTGGCTTCCAGGGAGCCCCAAGAGAGCCCAAGACGGCCCAAGAGGCCTCCACGACGGCCCAAGAGGCCTCCACGACGGCCCAAGAGACGCCCAAGTGGCGTCCCAGGAGGGCCCCAACAGGCCAAAATTATTGATTTGTCTTAGGCAAACGTACATTTTGAGCATATACGGCCTCTCAGCTTTCATAGCCGCTGAAGACGGTCCAAGAGATTCCCAAGACCGCCCCAATACGGCCCAACAGGCTCCCAAGAGGCCCCCAAAAAGGCCCAAGACGCGGCCAAGACGGCCCAAGAGGGCCCCAAGACGGCCCCAAGAGGGGGACCTCGAACCCAAGATCCCAGCTTTCCGCCCCAAGACGCCCCCAACAGGCCCCAAGAGGCCCCCGAGAGGCCCAAAAAAGACCCCAAGATGCCCCCAAACGGCTCCCAACAGGCTTCGAAACTGCCTCCGAGAGGCCCGCGAGAAGCCTCCCCAGAAGGCCAACTCTGGAGCAACCCCCCCATCTGGCCCAGCACGGCACCCACGGTTTCCAAAATCGGCCCACCGTGGCCCTGGAAATGTCCTATTTCATTGAAGCCCCGTCGGATTGAAAAAACACACCCCGCACCTCTTGGAACACCTCACGCATCGTACCTCACGCCTCCTGAGACACGCGGCGTGCGAGAGGGGCCTCTGAAAACAGCGTCCTTGGGTGCCGCAGGGTGACCCAGACGAATTTGTGGCAAGCCCCCCCGAGGAAGAGGTGTCCCATGAGGTGCCGGGTATTGTTTTTTACAGGTGGACTCCCTCCTCTCTTGGAACCGTCTTGGGGCTCCTTTGGAGCTTTCTTGGGGCCATCTTGGGGCCCCAAGAGGGGCCTACAACCTGTCACGAAGACGGCCCCTTTTCGTGACAAGGTGTTCGGCCTTTTTCAAACCCTCTTGGGGCAGTCTTGGGTCCTCCTGAGGGGGTCCTATGGGGGCTGAAGGTCCCCTGAGAGCTCTAGCCGACTTGCCCCCGCGTCTGGAGCTCTGGGGGGCTCACTTGGGGCCCTCTTGGGGCCCTCTGGAACAGTCTTGGGGCCCCTTTGGAGCTTTCTTGGGGCCCTCCTGGGACCATCTTGGGCTGGAAGGGGATGGCCGAAAAACCTTTCAGACCTAGCCGCCAACGCCCCGGAACGCTTTTTCTGGGACTATTTCCCGCACGACGCGTGTTCCAGGAGGCGCGGGGTATGGTTTTGCCATACAGGTTACACTCCCTTCCTCGACCTCCTTCTCCTCGTTGCCCACGGTTGCCTCTGCACAGTGGTTGCCGTCGTTTGCCAGTCACGTCGCTCCACCCACCTCTCGGGCTACTGCCGATGCTGCAATATCCGATGCTGCTGCAAACGATGCTCTCGGCGCCGACAGGATCATCGAGCACCCAGCTCGCCCTGAAGCACTACGCAGCAGCATACGCCCTCCCAATACGTTAGCAATCGTGGACGGTAGTCCACAGGTCAGCCCTAGTCACGTACATTGCTGGAATCAGCGCGTGCGACAGGGGGGAGCGATGGCAGCATGCGTTGCTTCTGCTCAGCGAGCTGCCCGAGGTGAGACTGGAGCCCCATGTCATCAGCTGCAGTGCTGGAGTCAGCGCGTGCTCGAAGAGTGGAAAGTGGAGGCACGCTCTGTCGCTGCTCGCCGAGATGTGCGAGGCGAGGCTGGAGCCCGACGTCACCCAGATCGCCGCGCACGCGCGGGGGCTCCCAGCTGCAGGTGCCGACGGCCGCGCACCCCGGCCCCAGGCGGTCAAGGGTGGCACCGCGCGGCCCCGTGCGGGGCCCCGGGCGGCCAAAGGAGAGCGCCTGTCGATTCTCGGCCATCTCTCGAGCGGGGTATCGGCTGCAGAATCGACTTCATCTGCTCTCCCCATCGAATTTGAGACGAAAGCGTAGAATCTGCGTAAACCCACTGGGAGTTCTGAGCACTGTTCTTCAATGGCATAAAAAAACGCCCCTACCCTGGTTTACGAGGCGCTGTGCGCTGAAGCTCCTGTGGGCCGACATGGGAAACCCTGCGTGATGTGCGGCGTCCTGGCGGCTCTCTGGGCTTCGGGGGTTCCCGGGAGGTTTACAGACCACGCAGTTGTAACCCAGGGTAGGGTCGTTTTTTCATTCCTCAAGTTCTGCAGATTCGACGAGCAATTTTTCCCTCGGGGGGAAATCGCTTCTGCAGCCGATCTGGCTGACCCGGGTTCGCGAGCCGCTCGTGGCCGCGAGGCGGCCGCGCCTCTTGGCCGACCCGGGTGTGCGAAGACTTGCGTTGCAGTTTTTTTGTTCCTGCATTGCAGTTTTTGGTTTCCTGCTGACCCAGGTCTGGATTGACCGGGGTCTGAAGATCCCCGAAGGTTCCTTGCTGTGCCTTCGCGCACGCTTTTGATGCTCCACTCGTCGGCTCCGGGCGGCTCCGGGAGGGCCTCGGAGAGCTCCAGGGCAGGACGCCCCCAAAAAATAGCCCACCGAAAGCCAGAGGGCTCGAGACGGCTGCGAGATAGCCCAAGGTGGCCCTGGCTGGCGGCCCTGGCTGGCCTCCAAGGTGACCCCGCAGCTCCAAGACGACTCGGGATCGGACCAGGATGACCTCAAGACACATCCAGACGACCCCCAGGCACCCAGAAGGGACCCGCGAGGCCCCAATGGGATCCCAAGGGGGCCCCAGACGGCCCCGAGATAGCTACGATAGAGCACCAAAACGAAGCAAGCCAGAGATCTCGGCAAGCAAGAAGCAGAGTCAGCAACAGCAGAGGTAGCAGCAGCAGCCAGCAGGGGCGAGCACCAGCAAGCAGCAGCAGCAGCATCAATTCCAAGCAAACCCCGAGGCAGCCCCAAGAGGGCCCCAGGACAGCATCAAGGCTGGGCAAGCGAACAAGCACGGCACGCAGGCAGCAGTGCTAGCAGCATCAGCCAGGACTCGTTTGCGAATGTCATCCCAAGGTCACACTCGTCTACCCCAAACGCCCGCGGCCCGGGGAACCGCGTGCCAGAAGGAATTGCTTCCAAAGACTCGAGACGGGCCCCAGCCAGCCCCAGCACGCTCCAGGCTCCCCCCAGGAGGCTTCAAGATGGCCAGAGCGGGCTGCAATCTAGTCGGGCCCGTCCGTCTGCAGGAGGAAATTTCAAAAATAGTCAAAAAAATAGTCTGGGGACGATTCTTCGGCTACTTATTTACCAGCCCTCCTTAATTGGGCATTCGTTTTGGATAGAGCACTGCTCGCGCGTCCGTCTCCCGCCTCCCTCCTGCCTCCTCCTGTCTTGCCTGCAGGGGGGTGCGATATGTGAAACTGTCGCCACTTGTGAGGCTTGCTGGGGGGTCCAGCACAGTGACGTCCTACGCAGATTTAAATGGGACCTCGCCATCCCTGGGGGGCTGCGATGTGTGAAATTGCCGCCACTTTCGAGGGCTACTGGGGGGTTCAGCACAGTGACGTCCTACGCAGATTCAAATGGGACCTCGCCATCCCTGGGGGGCTGCGATCCGTGAAACCGTCGCCACTTTCGATGGCTGCTGGGGGGTTCAGCACAGTGACGTCCTACGCAGATCCAAATGGGAACTCGCCATCCTTGGGGGGGGCTGCGATCTGCGAAACTGGCGCCACTTTCGAGGCCTGCTGGGGGGTCCAGCACAGTGACGTCCTACGCAGATTCAAGTGGGACCTCGCCATCCCTGGGGGGGTGCGATTTTTGAAACCGCCGCCACTTTCGAGGGCTACTGGGGGGGTCAGCACGGTGACGTCCTACGCAGATTCAAATCGGACCTCGCCATCCCTGGGGGGCTGCGATGTGTGAAATTGTCGCCACTTTCGAGGCCTGCTGGGGGGTCCGGCACAGTGACGTCCTACGCAGGGGGGCTGCGATCTGTGAAACTGTGGTCACTTTCAATGGCTGCTGGGCGGTCCAGCACAGTGACGTCCTACGCATATTCAAATGGGACCTCGCCATGTCGGTGGGGATGCGATCTTCGAAACCGTCGCCATGTTCGAGGCCTGCTGGGGGGTCCAGCACAGTGACGTCCCACGCAGATTCAAATCGGATCTCGCCATCCCTGGGGCGGTGCGATTTTTGAAACCGCCGCCACTTTCGAGGGCTACTGGGGGGTTCAGCACAGTGACGTCCCACGCAGATTCAAATGGGACCTCGCCATCCCTGGGGGGCTGCGATCCGTGAAACTTTTGCCACTTTCGAGGGTTGCTGGGGGGTCCACCACAGTGACGTCCTACGCAGATTCAAATGGGACCTCGCCATCCGTGGGGGGCTGCGATCTGTGAAACTGTGGCCACTTTCGACGGCTGCTGGGGGGGTCAGCACAGTGACGTCCCACGCAGATTCAAATGGGACCTCGCCATCCCTGGGGGGCGGGGCTGCGATCTTTGAAACCGTCGCCACTTTCGAGGCCTGCTGGGGGTCCAGCACAGAGACGTCGTACGCAGATGCAAACGAGACCTGGCCATCCCTGGGGGGCTGCGATGTGCGAAGCTGTCGCCACTTTCGAGGGCTGCTGGGGGGTCCAGCACAGTGACGTCCTACGCAGATTCAAATGGGACCTCGCCATCGTTGGGGGGCTGCGATGTGTGAAATTGTCGCTACTTTCGAGGCCTGCTGGGTGGTCCAGCACAGACGTCCTACGCAGATTCAAATGGGACCTCGCCATCATTGGGGGGCTGCAGTCTCTGAAGCCGTCGCCAGTTTCAATGGCCGCTGGGGGGTCCAGCACAGTGACGTCCTACGTAGATTCAAATGGGACCTCGCCATGTCGGTGGGGATGCGATCTTCGAAACCGTCGCCACTTTCGACGGCTGCTGGGGGGTCCAGCACAGTGACGTCCCACGCAGATTCAAATGGGACCTCGCCATCCCTGGGGCGGTGCGATTTTTGAAACCGCCGCCACTTTCGAGGGCTACTGGGGGGTTCAGCACAGTGACGTCCTACGCAGATTCAAATGGGACCTCGCCATCCCTGGGGGGCTGCGATCCGTGAAACTGTTGCCACTTTCGAGGGCTGCTGGGGGGTCCAGCACAGTGACGTCCTATGCAGATTCAAATGGATACTCGCCATCCCTGGGGGGGGGGCGATGTGTGAAATTGTCGCCACTTTCGAGGGCTGCTGGGGGGTCCAGCACGCGATGCTCTCCTGAGCCACGAATGTCGACGATCTCTCGATGATCCGGGACCCGGGGCTGCAGTTTTTCTCTGAATGTTGATGCTTCCCCTCCAACTCCCCACCCCTCTTCCCCTTGCGCCCCTGCGTCCCATTGCTGCCGCTTCCGCAGGTCAACCGTTGGCATTTGGAGGTTCATGATGGGGCGCGAAGCGCGCGAGAGGTGTGCTGAAGTTAAGCTCCATTGAAGGCCCCACCACGTTACCACCCCCTTATAAAGTGTCCCAAACGACTATTGTCCAGCATTGCGCAGGCGTTGGGCACGTAGCAAGGGTCATTTATTATCTTGCACAGAGTGTCTAGAGCTCCGACCACTTAATTTCGGCGCGGCCCCCCCCCAACACCCACACATTCCACCAACCATTGCGCCCCTCCGCCCCGACCCTTTTTTATTTCGGCACGGCACACCCCTCCGCCCCGACCCCTTCATTTCGGCACGGCACACCCCCTTCCAAGCCCCCTCCGCATCCCCCCCACCCACCAGCCAGCGCGCCCCTTCCGCCCCGACCCCTTCATTTCGGCACGGCACACCCCCTCCGCATCCCCCCACACACCAGCCAGCGCGCCCCCTCCACACCCTTTTTATTTCGGCACGGTGCACCCCCCCGCATCCCCCCACCCACCAGCCAGCGCGCCCTCTCCGCCCCGACCGTTTATTTCGGCACGCCCCCCCCCGCGCACCCCCTCCGCCCCGACCTTTTTATTTCGGCACGGCACACCCCTCCGCCCCGACCCCTTTATTTCGGCACGCTCCCCCCCCCACGCACCCCTTCCGCTCGGCATGGCACACCCCTCCGCCCCGACCCTTCTATTTCGGCACGCCACACCCCATCCGCATCCCCCCCCACCCACCCACCAGCCAGCGCGCCCTCCGCCCCTATACCTTTTCTTTCGGCACGGCACACCCCTCCGCCCCGACCACTTTATTTCGGCACGGCACACCCCCTCCGCATCCCCCCACCCACCAGCCAGCGCGCCCCTCCGTCCGGACCTTTTTCAGATCGGCACGGCACACCCCTCCGCCCCGACTTTTGTATTTCGGCACGGCGCACCCCCTCCGCATCCCCCACCCACAGCCAGCGCGCCCTTTCCGCCCGGACCCCTTCTATTCGGCACGGCATACCCCTCCGCCCCGACCGCGCACCCCCTCCGCATCCCCCCACCCACCAGCCAGCGCGCCCCTCCGCCCCAACCCCTTTTATTTCGGCACGGCACCCCCCGCATCCCCCCACTTACCAGCCAGCGCGCCCCCTCGGCCCGCGACCCTCCTTATTTCGGCACGGCCCCCACTCCCTCCCCGCGCGCCCTCCGCCCCGACCACTTTTTTCGGCACGGCACACCCCCTCCGCATCCCCCCACCCACCAGCCAGCGCGCCTATCCGCCCCGACCCCTTTTATTTCGGCACGGTGCACCCCCCCCGCCCGACCATTTTTCTTTCGGCACGGCACCGCCCCCCTCCTCCCGCGCGCCCCCTCGGCATCCCCCCGCCCGCCAGCCCGAGCGCCCCCCTCCGCCCCGGCTTTTATTTCGGCACGGCACCGACCCCCGTTGTCCCGCGCATTTCCAGCCAGCGCGCACCCTCCCTCTGCCCGCGCCCCCTTCCGCACCCCCCAACCCGCCAGCCAGCGCGCCCCTTCCGAGCCGACCCTGTTGTTTCGGTACGGCGCCGCCCCCTCCGCCCTGACCCCTATATTTCGTCACGGCACCGCCCCCCCCATCTTGAGCGCCCCCTCCGCATCACCCCACCCACCAGCCAACGCGCCCCGTCCGCCCCGACCCCTTCTATTTCGGCGCGGCACTGCCCCCCCATCCCGAGTGCCCACTCCATCGTCCCATCCACCCGCCAGCGTTCCCTCTCCGCCCCGACTCTTTCCTTTCTGTGCAAGAGCCATGGCATGCGTGCCATTTGTTTTGGTGTATGTTGTCCGTATGTTTACGTTACGTACAAATTCCGCCTATAGGAGGACGTGCCCGACCCAAGGCTACAAAACAGTCCAAAATGACCCGAGACGCCTCCAGGCGGTCCAAGATGTCGCCAATATGGCTCGCAGAAAGTCCCACGGAGCCGAAAGACGACGCAAGAGGGCCTCAATAGCCCCCCAAAAAGGGCCCCAACACGGCCCAAGAGGCCCTCAAGAGGCCCCAAAGACGGCCCAAGAGTCCCCAAAGAATGCCCCAGACGGCCCAAGAGGGCCCCAACACGGCCCCAACAGGGCCACCAAGACGACCCGAGAGGGCCCCACGAGGGGAAACTCGAAGTGACATTTTGCGCCCTCCGCCCCAAGATGGTCCCAAGAACCGCCAGCAGGACCCCCCAGGAAGCCCCAGGACGCCCGCCAACGATGCCCAAATCAGGCCTCACGAGGCCCCTGAGAGGTCCCAGGACACTTCCAAAGCGGCCTCCAAGAGGCTTCCGAGGGAAGAACCTCCAGCCAGCTCTGGGACCGCGTTGGCCACCCAGAAGAATAAGGCGCCCATGCGCCTCTTTCAGGGGCAACGATAGGGGGGGATAGGCATAGGGGGGGACGCATTGACCCCAACCATCCACTGATCACCCAATCCAGGTCGATGCATCCCCCCCTATGCCAGTCTCCCCCTATCGTTGCCCCTCACTTCTATGATGGCCACCCCTTCTTTGGACAGGCTCCGGTCTGAGTGGGCGACTCGTCGGGGAGTTCTCCCTGCGAGTGCCCTGGACAGGCCGGGCCATCGGGGGCACGCTCCGCGGTGCCCTCGAACTTCGTCCGGGCATACGCCGCCCGCGCGTATCCGTCGCCTTCGGGCGGGCATAGCCACCATGGGGCACCGTTGGGGAAAGTAGTGCCCACATACTTGTGCTTCTTCATTTCCAGCCCTGGCCCTAATTTTCGACTGGACGTAGGAGTGACCCTTCGCCGGAGTGGCCGTTGGTGCGTGCCCAGTGGGGTCCCCCGATCGCCGAACGCGATGTGACAGCAACGTCTGGCGCGCTTGGTTTGGGATCCCCCCTGCTGCCCCCAAAAAGCCGCGCACCAAAGGTCACTCTTGCCCAGAGTCACTCTTGCGTGTAGTCGACTAATACGGCCTCAAGGCGGCTCGGGATCATGCTGGGGCGGCCCAAGACGCCCCCATTAGAAGGCAAGCAGCACCAGCACGCAGCAGCGGTAAGCATCACCAACAGCACGCAGCAGCGGCAGCAATCAGCAGCACGCAGTAGCATGCGCGGAAGGCAAAGTTCGATCCTCACGTCATCATGTCAGTCGTTCGGCAACATGTCCGCCACCACTTGCCCGTTCGTGCAGATTTCGTGGACGGAGTCCACAGATCAGCCCTACTCAGCTACAGTGCCGGAATCAGCGCGTGCGAGAAAGGCGAACAATGGCAGCAGGCGTTGTCTTTGCTCAGCGAGATGTCCGAGCGGAAGGTAGATCTGGATGTCGTCAGCTGCAGTGCCTGCGTCAGCGCGTGCGAGAAGGGTGGGCAGTGGGAGCACGCGCTGAGGTTGCTCGTCGTGATGTGCGAGGCGAGGCTGGAGCCCAACGTCTTAATCGGAGGATTGGGGGGTCAGACCGATTTGAAACGTTGGTACCCCAACCGGGAATTCGATTTCGACTTCGTTTCTTTGTCGTGCGTGACGTGCGGGCGAAATGAGGCGAGACGAAGTTGCGCGAGCTCGTCCTCTAGCAGAGGCCAAGTCAGACAAGATTTGGATGGCCCCCCGAGGAGGCCCTGGCGCGGGGTTGCCCGGATGGCTTGTTCCGATGGTTGTCCCGATGGTTGTCTCGATGGTTGCCTTGATGGTTGTCCCGCTGGTTATCCCGATGGTTGTCCAGACGGTTGTCCCGGTGGTTGTCCCGATGGTTTCTCCAATAGGTTGTCCAGATGGTTGCAACGATCGTTGTCCCAACGGTTGTCCCGATGGCAGTCCCGATGGTGGCCCCGATGGTTGTCCCGATGGTTGTCCCGATGGTTAGCCCGACGGATGTCCTGATGGTTGTCCCGATGATTGGCCCGACGGATGTCCTGATGGTTGTCCCGATGATTATCCAGACGACTGTCCCGACGGTGGCTCCGATATGGTTATCCCGGTGTTGATCCCGATGGTTGATCCCCATGGTTTGTCCCGATGCTCCTCCCGATGCTCGCCCCGACGCTTCTCCCGATAGGTACTGAGATCGACAGACTCCCAAGACAGTGTTTGCACTTAGGGGTTCGCACGTCTCCTCTACGGAACTGAGCCTGCTTGCCGGTCTGGCGGCTATGTTGTCGCCGTCGCCGCCCCGTCGATGCCTCGTCGCCGCCCGTCGTCTAGGCCGGTCTGCCGGCCTGGCGGCTATGTTGTCGCCGTCGCCGCCCCGTCGACGTCTCGTCGCCGTCGGTCGTCTGGGCATGTCTGCCGGCCTGGCGGCTATGCTGTCGCCGTCGCCGCCTCGCCGCCGCAGAAACATGGATCCTCTCTTGTAAAAAGAACTGGGATCTACCAATCCCCGAGCCTGGGGGTATCCGTTCCCCCTGGGGATGCGCAATCTACACATGAGTATATCCCATCGTTCATTGTAGATGTGAACTCATATCATCCCAGCCGAGCCAGTATCGCCCCCTTCCCATCCTCGTCAAATGATACTATGCGCGCACATCCGTTTATCAAAAGCATCCATGTTCAAGAATACCTTGCACTCAAAGGACGATCGCACGCGCGTCGTCGCGCGCATACTGGTTTTGTTGTGTGTAACGCTTTTTGAATCAAGTATAAAGAACCCTGGAGACGTACCCAACCCCTGTGCAATGCGGGGCATGAGTAGCTTGGGAGACGTCATACGGAGGTGATGGCGTGACATGGGCTCATATACTTCTGCGGGCGGCATTCGTGAGGCTCGCAAGCGCCCCAAATTGGCGAGGTCCCGCTCAGATTTGCGTGGTGCCTCACTCCGCTGGACCCGCAACCAGCCTTCGAAAGTGGTGACAGTTTCGCAGATCGCAGCCCCCCAGGAACGGCGAGGTCCCGCTCAGATCTGAGCGGTGCCTCGCTCCGCTGGACACCAGCAGCCCTCGAAAGTGGCAACAGTTTCGCAGATCGCAGCCCCCCAGGGACGGCGAGGTCTCGCTCAGATCTGCGCGGTGCCTCACTCCGCTGGACCCACCAGCAGCCTTCGAAAGTGGCGACAGTTTTGCAGATCGCTATGCTGGCCCCCCAAGCAGCCCTCCAAAAAGGCGACAGTTTCGCAGACTGCGAGGTCCCGCTCAGATCCGCGCGGTGCCTCACCCCGGCAGCCCTCGAAAGTGGCGACAGCTTCGTAGATCGCAGCCGCCCAGGGACGGCGAGGTCCCGCTCGGATCACTTCGCTGGACCCACCAGCAGCCCTCGAACGTGGCGACTGTTTCGCAGATCGCAGCCCCCCAGGGACGGCGAGGTCCCGCTCAGATCCGCGCGGTGCCTCACCCCGCTGGACCCACCAGCAGCCCTCGAAAGTGGCAACAGCTTCGCAGATCGCAGCCCCCCAGGGACGGCGAGGTCCCGCTCAGATCTGCGCGATGCCTCACTCCGCTGGACCCACCAGCAGTCCTCGAAAGCGGCGACAGCTTCGCAGATCGCAGCCCCCCAGGGACGGCGAGGTCCCGCTCAGATCTGCGCGGTGCCTCACTCCGCTGGACCCACCAGCAGCCCTCGAAAGTGGCGACAGCTTCGCAGATCGCAGCCCCCCAGGGACGGCGAGGTCCCGCTCAGATCTGCGCGGTGCCTCACTCCGCTGGACCCGCCAGCAGCCCTCGAAAGTGGCGACAGTTTCGCAGATCGCAGCCCCTCAGGGACGGCGAGGTCCCGCTCAGATCGGCGCGGTGCCTCACTCCGCTGGACACACCAGCAGCCCTCGAAAGTGGCGACAGTTTCGCAGATCGCAGCCCCCCAGGGACGGCGAGGTCCCGCTCAGACCTGCGCGGTGCCTCACTCCGCTGGACCCACCAACAGCCCTCGAAAGCGGCGACAGCTTCGCAGATCGCAGCCCCCCAGGGACGGCGAGGTCCCGCTCAGATCTGCGCGGTGCCTCACTCCGCTGGACCTAGCAGCAGCCCTCGAAAGCGGCGACAGTTTCGCAGATCGCAGCCCCCAAGGGACGGCGAGGTCCCGCTCAGATCTGCGCGGTGCCTCACTCCGCTGGACCCACCAGCAGCCCTCGAAAGCGGCGACAGTTTCGCAGATCGCAGCCCCCCAGGGACGGCGAGGTCCCGCTCAGATCTGCGCGGTGCCTCACTCCGCTGGACCCACCAGCAGCCCTCGAAAGTGGCGACAGTTTCGCAGATCGCAGCCCCCCAGGGACGGCGAGGTCCCGCTCAGATCTGCGCGGTGCCTCATTCCGCTGGGCCCGCCAGCAGTCCTCGAAAGCGGCGGTTGCGCAGATCGCAGCCCCCAGGGACGGCGAGGTCCCGCTCAGATCTGCGCGGTGGTGCCCTGCGCAGATCGCAGCCCCCCAGGGACGGCGAGGTCCCGCTCAGATCTGCGCGGTGCCTCACTCCGCTGGACCCACCAGCAGCCCTCGAAAGCGGCGACAGAGCTTCGGAGATCGCAGCCCCCCAGGGACGGCGAGGTCCCGCTCAGATCTGCGCGGTGCCTCACTCCGCTGGACCCACCAGCAGCCCTCGAGAGCGGCACCAGTTTCGCAGATCGCAGCCCCCCAGGGACGGCGAGGTCCCGCTCAGATCTGCGCGATGCCTCACTCCGCTGGACCCACCAGCAGTCCTCGAAAGCGGCGACAGCTTCGCAGATCGCAGCCCCCCAGGGACGGCGAGGTCCCGCTCAGATCTGCGCGGTGCCTCACTCCGCTGGACCCACCAGCAGCCCTCGAAAGTGGCAACAGTTTCGCAGATCGCAGCCCCCCAGGGACGGCGAGGTCTCGCTCAGATCTGCGCGGTGCCTCACTCCGCTGGACCCACCAGCAGCCTTCGAACACGGACAGCAGCGCCCTGGACGACCGGCACGGATAGCGGCCGCGCTCGGGGACCACCCCCTACGCACCATCTTTGGCGTCGAGAATGTGCCAGCTTGCTATGCCCTGCGCCATGGCCCGCATAGACGCCGCGCTCGGGGACCACCCCCTGCGCACCCCCTACGGTGTCGAGAAAATGCAACGATTGCTATTCCCTGCGCCATGGCCCGCATAGACGCCGCGCTCGGGGACCACCCCCTGCGCGCCCCCTATGGTGTCGAAAAAGTACCACGCCTGCTCTGCCCTGCGCCATGGCCCGCATAGACCCCGCGCACGGGGAACACCCCCTGCGCGCCCCCTATCCTGTCGAGAAAGCGCCACGCCTGCTATGCCCTGCGCCATGGCCCGCATAGACGCCGCGCTCGGGGACCACCCCCTGCGCACCCCCTACGGTGTCGAGAAAGCGCCACGTGTGCTCTGCCTTGCGCCATGGCCCGCATAGACGCCGCGCTCGGGGTCCACACCCTGCGCACGCCCTACGGTGTCGAGAATGTGCCAGCTTGCTATGCCCTGCGCCATGGCCCGCATAGACGCCGCGCTCGGGGACCACACCCTGCGCACGCCCTACGGTGTCGAGAAAATGCAACGCTTGCCTTGCCCTGCGCCATGGCCCGCATAGATGCCGCGCTCGGGGACCACACCCTGCGCACCCCCTATGGTGTCGAGAAAGTACCACGCCTGCTATGCCCTGCACCATGGCCCACATAGACGCCGCCCTCAGGGACCACCCCCTGCGCACCCCCTACGGTGTCGACAAAATCCCGCGCCTGTTGTGCCCTGGACGACCGTCGTGCTGTGCTGAGCTGAGCTGTGCTGTGCTGAGGTCCTATGCAGTGCTGAGCTGTGCTGAGCTAAGCTGTGCTGTGCTGAGCTGTGCTGCGCTGTCTGAGAAGGAGAAGGAGGAGGAGGAGGAGGAGAGTTGAGTGAAAGTCGTGGGTGCGGCGCGGCAGTGATGAAAACCAGAACCCCACGAAGCACGTGGGGAAGAAAACGATCGTTGCTTCAACGCGTTCATCAAAATCTACCAAATGTGCCTCTCGCTCGCGATTGTCGAAATCGTTCGAACACCCTTGCGCGCGGCCTGTCGCAATAATGCAATGCAAAAAGCGGGGCGAAGTGCACATGTTTGCGTCGTTGCGCGCGCGTGCCAAAATCGTTCAAAAATGGACGGTGTCGTGAGGATTTCAACACCGAGTGCCCCGAAAACATATATTGTAGTGGCCTCCGGCCAGTGCCGCCGATCCGGGGCGCTCCTGATGCTATTGTTGTTGAAATGGACGATGACTACGACAACGGACGACCAACGGTCGACGAGCGGGATAATTGCGACGACGACCGACGAAGGAGTTAATGACGACGAACCGACGACGACGACGACGACGACGACGACGACGACGACGACGACGACGACGACGACTGACGGCGAACGGCTGCCGACGGCCGACGACCGACGACTGGTGACGGCGACGGGTGGAAGGTTCTTCGTTCATCGCTTTCGCTTCCGAGCAATACCAAGTCAGGCCGTGCACCTCTGGCCTGGCAGCACGCGAGTGAGCGCCTCTTGGGGCCTCTTGGTTCTTGGGGCTTCTTGGGGGCCTTTGGGGCCTCTTGGGGGCCTCTCGGGGTCCTCTTGGGGGCCTCTTGGGGACCTCTTGGGGGCCTCTGGGGGCCCCTTGGGGGCGCCTCGGGGGCATCTTGGGGGCTCTTGGGGTCATCTTGGGGCGGAGGATTAGAAGGGTCCGTTCGGGTTCACCCTCTTGACGCCATCTTGGGGGCCTCTCGGGGTCGTCTTGGGGGGCCTCCAGGGCTATATTGGGGCCCTCTTGGACCGTCTTGGCTCCTCTTGGGGGCCTCTTGGGCTGTCTTGGGGCGATCTTGGGGGCCTCTTGGACCGTCTTCGGCGCTTCTAAGACGGAAAAGACGATAATGTGAAAATGCTTCAAAACTTATTGGCAACTTTATTATTGTACCCTCTTGGGGCCCTCTTGGGGGTCCTCTTAGGATCTCCTTGAAGCGTCTTGGAGGCCTCTTGGGCCGTCTTCAGGCCATCTTGGGCGTCCAGGAGCGCTCTTGGGCCGTTTCGGGTGCCTCCTGGACCGTCTTGGTGGCCTCCTGGGCCATTTTTGGCCCGTCTTGGGGCGGTTTGGGATTCCCTGGGGGGGGGGGGGGGAAAGGGTGGACCCGATGACCCCCCCCCCTCCCCCCCTACCCCGGCGGCAGAGCCACCTCGGCCCCCCCCTAGCAGAGCTGAAGGTCAGGTTGTAGCTTTCTTAAACTCACACGCCGGATCGGCGGATCCCTATATATATATATATATATATATATATATATATGTATAGATATGTATGGGGAATTGCGTTGCAACTGGATGCTTCGAAAAAGAAATGCGCGCGCGCCCTTGCGAGTCCTTCAGAAAAACCAGAAGTAATTGTTCCAGATCGGAATCATTCGACGTTTTTTGCGCGCGTGGTGGAGGGGCACGATCCTTGCCAAATGACACCATGCGGGCCACGCGCGCATGTCGAACTCCGTCTAAAACCTGCATCGCCGACGCGTGGACATCGACATCGTCATCGGCGTGATCAGCATCAGCGCCGTTAGTGGCCTTACCGTTGTCATCGTAACTATCGCAACCCTCATCGCTACGATCATCACCGTGTCTACCGTTGTCGGCATCGCCATGATACCGCGCCCACCCGACTCACCGACTCGCACTGAACTGCCCGCTGGGCAGTGCCCAGAGGTGAGCGCCACCGCCGCCGCGTCGGTCGCACCAAACGAGGTGGCCGTTGTGCACGCGAGCATGCGCGGGTTAGCGCGGCCGCAGAGACGCACCAGCAAACATGAAGCAATCATCGCAATCGCCGCCACATGGGTTTTGCAAACCATGTTGCGCGCGGGTGGGTCGGACGTTTGCACGAGCAGTGGAATTGGCAATTCCAAGTTTGTCCAAATTACATACACAACAAAGATTGCACAATAAAGATTGCACCACATCGATTGCACAAAACATCGGCTGCACAACCTAGACTAACACCACCTGGATTGCACCACATAGATTTCACAGCACGTGTTGCTAGAAGCATTGTTTGGGGTCCGCGCTGGTCATCATATACTGAAAGTGGGACCGATCGAATTGATATGCAACAAACATTCGGAGAACGGAGCTCCCGACGGTTGTCCAGATGGTTGTCCCGATAAGTTGGTGCGGCCGGGATATCTATATATACAGTGAGTTGCTTGAGTAAGGAACATGTATTTAAGGGGGTTCGGTCGTTCCTTAAGGCTTGCATGCGTTACGTATCCTTCCTTATACGTTTTTAGTACGTGCCGTGCCTTATGCTTTATTCCTTGGAAAACAGGGGCGTCGTTCCTTATGTATCGTTCCTTAGGTCAGGCCGATGACTGTGGATATATGGTTATGAAAAATACGTGATGCTAGATCTGGACATACACATACATACGGACAGACATTTACAGTTGTACATATAGATATGTATAGGAATCCACCTGGCTGTCCCCGATGTGTGTGTGTGTCCACTCGTGAGTTCAATAAGGCGTTCAATGCGAATGACAGGGGGGGCCTTCCACAAAACGCCTGATACCCGCAGGGTGGTCTTCCAGGTATCAACAATACTGGCGGTTGCCGCCTTGCGCGCGGAAAATTCAAAGGTGGCACCGTCCGTCTTGTTCGCGTCAAGAGGGCGATGCGTAGAGGAGCGGCAATCATGGACAACACGGGGTCGCACAGTCTAGCGGGGTCACGCAACATGCCGCCGAGACGGGTGTGGGTGCGTGTGTGTGATTGCGGCCCCGCGTCAACGCTACAGAATCGGCATCACCCCAACATACTAATACTATGCGTGCGTCGCCCCCCCCAGGGGGGACGCCCGCACCGAGAAATCTTATATGATATGCGTCCTGGCAGGCGTTCTCTGGCCACGCCCCCTGGGAAACGATGTGCTACAAGATGGGTACACTATATCTTCGGGCCGGACGCGCGCCTCCACGGAGGACATGTGCTATCAGTATCTCTCTGTGCGTCCCACGGCACAGACGCGGGCACGTGCAAGATGCGGCGCAGGCACGTCCGGCGCCCTGGCGCGTGTGGGGCGCCTCGGGCAGGCTCCCAGCGCGCTCCCACTGGGCCAGGGGCGGGCCCCGCGCCATGGCGGCCCCTCTGCCGAGGCGGCCCCGCTGCACAGGCGTCCTCGTGGAGGCTCTCCCGGAGAACCCCTCGCCAAGACTAACTCGGAGCTTGAGAGACGGGGGACGATGCAGAGGGGGTCAGCCAGGGCACCAGATCTTGCAGGATCTTGCGAAGACCCCCTCTGGCTGCCCCGGGTTGGCGAGCCGCTCGTGGCCGCGAGGCGGCCGCGCATGCTGGCTGACCCGGGTTTGCAAAGCTTTGCGTTGCAGTTGTTGGTTTTTCTGCATTGCAGTTATTTGGTTTCTTGCTCACCCCGGTCTGATTGACCCGGGTTAGCAGATCCCCGACTAGCCACCAAGAAGGGTAAAAGCGTGATTGGTTTCTTTCGAGGCCGGCAAGCGGTTGCGTGCTCACCACCTGCTTTACGATCTGCTCAGCCAGAGCCCTAGAGGCTGCAAATGTGCAGCAGAAGCACACCACCACCATCCCCATCCACACCCCAGAGAACCCCTCCCCAGAGACCACTTGGCTCCCGCGCCGCATCGGGGCCTCTCGCAGGGCGCTGGGGCCAGACCCGCAAGCTTTCCCTGACCCTCGAGTGGCATTTCTGGTCGTCTGGAGCTGGCCCCAGGTTGTCGCCGTGAGTTCAGGTGGGGGTTCAGCACAAGGGCTGGTCGCCACGTCCTCCTAGGGATCATGGCTCGAGGAGAGAGGATTGAGGATCGAACAGGTTTTTGAACGTTTTCGGGTGCTTTGGGCAGTTCTGGAGGGGGAGCTACTGGCAAGATCCTCTTCCCTCTCCTCCTCTTTTTCGTCTCGGAGGATTCCATAGCAGCCCCTCCAATGGTGAACCCTCTATGGAAATCAGTCATGCCCACATCTTGGCATTGGCAAGACAATACAAGGCGAGGCGGTCTCCAAGGTGGATTTCAAGATGCCTCCAGATTGCCACAAGACGGCTTGAGGTGGCCACAGCGCCTTTCGAGGATCGCTCCGAGAGGCCGAAGGCATTGAAACACCTTCAAGTGTTCGGTGCTCAATGATCTTGGCCTTATCGCGTCCAGCTTCCGATGGGTTCTAAAGTACTCCTATGTGGCCCCAAGATAGCCCTAGAGGAGCCTCGGAATGGCACAGGAACCACCCACGAAGGGCCCAGAGGCCGCCATGAGGACACCCTAAAGCGCCCCCAAGGGGGCCCCAGCAGAGTTCTGAACCACGGAGAGGTCAGCAGGACCACTTTGTACTCGACGCCACGATGGTCGCACGACGGCCCCAGAAGGCTTCCCCACAGAGCACCAACAGGGCCCCAAGAGCACCGCTCAAAGAGCTGCATGAGAGTCCCACGAGTTTCCCCCCTTCTCACATCCAAGGCTCGCCGCCTGCCACGCTCAGGGCAGACCGCGATAATCGGTTAATGGTTTAGCGATTTTTCCTGGGGCCCCGTCAAAACGTTTTGGAGCTAAGTTGCTGTTCTACCCCAGTGCGGCCGGTGTTTTTCTTACTTCTGGCATGGGCCTAAGTCGTAATCAGCCGTGCGTTTTGTTCAGGGCTCTCAGAGTGGCCCACATAGTAGGTCCAGATCTGGATCCAAGGTTCGGCCCAGGAAAGATGTTCGTATGTGCCTCGTCTTTCTCTCTGCGATTCACCAGGGTCGGCCACCGCGTCGGACTGCCAGCCATGCTACCCCGTCCACAGGCGAGGGGGAAGTGCTGCGACGTGGGGCGGGGCGATTGGTAGAGACCCCCTCCCTTGGCATCGCTCGGACGTGTGCATTTTTCGGCGAGGACCATGGATGAGCGTCTTGGATCATCGCGCGGAAAAACCACGCACGAAACCGAACAATGCACGGGGAATGGACGTCCGAGCGATGGCGAGTCCTCGAAAGGGAAGAAGGAGGCTTGGAAAATGTGACTCGTTAAACCACCTACGCCCCGAGGATTGGTTGGATTTTGTCGGACAGTAGGCCGTGCGTGGATACAGCAACCACGGGTCCGTCCACTTCAGCTACAGTGCTGCGATCAGCGCGTGCGAGAAATCCGGGCAGTGGCAGCGGGCGTTAGCTTTGCTCCGCGAGATGGCGAAGGGAAAGGTTGAGCCCAACGTCATCAGTTACAACGCTGGCATAAGCGCGTGCGAGAAAGGAAGGCAGTGGCAGCAGGCGCTGTCGTTGTTCGGCGAGTTGCTGGACGCGCAGCTGGCGCCCACTATCCGCAGCTACAGCGCTGGCATCAGCGCTTGCGAGAAAGGGGCACAGTGGCAGCAGGCGTTGATGCTGCTTCGCGAAATTGAAAGAGTGAATATCAGTCCGAGCGTTGTCAGCCACAGTGCAGCGATCAGCGCATGCGAGAAGTGCGGGCAGTGGCAGCATGCTTTGTCTTTGCTGCGCGAGCTGGGTGAGGTCAAGTTGGAGCCGAACGTCGTCAGCTACAGTGCAGGCATTAGCGCTTGCGAAAAATGTGGGCAGTGGCAGCAGGCCTTGTCGTGGCTCGGCGAG